TGTGTGTGTGTGTGTGTGTGTAAGTGCACGGGAGGCTGAGGACCCCCAACTCCCCCACCCCCCGCTTCCAGCAACATTTACCCCCAGGTTATACTATCAGGGAAAAGTGCAGCTGTGAGTCCCATGTCCCTGTGTGGTCTCTTGGCTACAGCCCTGTCCCAGGAAACAAAGTCCTGGGGACCTGGTCCGGGTGGGAGGGCCCAGGGTGAGGGAGTCCACTTCAGCATTTCAGTAGAAGGGGCTGCGTGAAGCTCCCACAGCAGGCAGGAGGGAGGCTGGTGGCTGGGCTCAGTTTGTACTGGGGGTCAAAGGGGAGTTCTTTTCCGAAGAATTCTGGGAGAGGCGCCAACAAGAGCAAGCTGCTAACCACCCCTCCCTCTCTCTCACTGCACTGGGTGGGGGGGTGTCCCTGCCAACCAGACTTAACCCTCGATAGTCCTAAACCCAGGACAGGATTTGGGGAGGGGTCCTCTGGCTGAGCCCCACTTCCAAAGCTAGGGGGTGGGTGATATAGGGCACCCACCTGAACGAAACCTGAACCTGGCTCCACACAGCCCCATCTGGCACCACCCTGCCCTACCGCCACCTGGTTGACTTTTCAGGGCTCATCTCCTGAAGGTGTCTGCAGTGACGTGTGTGTACGTGTCTCAGAGACCTCGATTGAGAAACAAGCTGAAAACTCCTTGCCAAGGCCCTCCCCCAGCTGGGTCACTGAGCGCTGTACCAACCTGTGCCTCTACCCCTCCCTTCTTCCCACTGTGCCTGGTGAGACCAGAGGCCACTGGGGGGGGGGGTGTAAAAGGGACAGCCTATCCTCATGTCCACCTCCTGCTGCCATCTGCAGCTCTTGACTTATACCACAGGCCCTGACTCAGCCCTCTTCTTTCTCTCAGACTTGCCACATGTCCTCCTAGAAGAAAGCATTCAATTATAGCCTGAGATCCCAGGAAGGGAAACTGAGTCAATGCACAGTATCAGGGATTCCAGTGCCTGAATCCCAAACCATCACTATCCTCATTTTGACCAAAAGAAGCAAAAAATAAAATGCTTGGAACCTCTCCTCCCACAGAATACTGTCTAACTGCAGTGGGTAAGGAACAAGATTAAACATCAGGAAGGACTTCCCTGGATCAAGGCTACAATGGCAGCTGGCCCCACCCCAAATGCCTGAACTCCAGGCTCTTGGTCTTCTCCTCAGGCTGAAAATATAAGTGTCTTGTTCTGTTTTTTGCCCCTAGCCAGAGAAGTCAACTTTTCTGAACCTTCAATTTGTCACCAAGCACCCACATGTGATGTGATTGGCTGTTCCTTGTCCTCAATGAAGCAAGTGACCCCAGGGATGGAGGAGGAGTCACTTTCTTTTCCCCCAGCCCATTCCTTTAGGGCACTGAACCTCCCTTAGCAGCCACCATTGTATCCTCAGGACAAGAAGGTGGGCTGGTGGTGCAGGACCCCTCACGGTGCTGAGGACCCATGAGGAGCAAAGGGGAGGACCCAGCCCTCAGCGACAGTTTATCTCAAAGTCTCCCACTCTGCCACTCTCTCTCCAAGGACCACAGAGCTGCCAGAAGCCTTGGCCCCACTCCAGGAAACCTCCCTATCAAAGAGCAGAGGACTCCACGTCCCAGGGCCACAGGAGACCTGTGACTACACACCCCAGATATGTTCCCAGGGAGCAGGAGGCGGGGAAAGACAAAGCGCACGCGTGTACGCGCACATACGCACATGCACACAGCAGAGACACACCCCCAGCACACTCCTCAGAGATAATGCACACACATGTGGCCAAGGGACAACACAAATTCAAGGTACTTCTAAAAATAACTCCTAGCTCCAAACAGTGACCCCTTAAGACCCCTAGAGACTTGCACATTGAGAGACAGCCCAGGAGAGCCCAGGAAATGTTCACATCAGCCAGTCACACAAAGCTGCCGCCAGAAGGTACACCCACTTGGGGATACACACCCACTACACACATGTACTACCTGGCCATGTGCTAGCACACAAACTCAAATATACCACCTCCAAGTATACAGTGTGAAGTCAGATTAGAGGACAATGTCCCTCTCCTAGTGGGGAGGGAATCTGGAGGGGGCTGGAGAAGTTCTCAGGGATTTCAAAACAATCCAAGTTTCGAAATGCTGGAAATGCTGGATTCAGGGCCATACCCAGTTAAAGGGGGGTGGCGGGGGGAGACAGGCCAGCCCAGAGCAACCACCACATGGGAGGAGGAGAGGGACTGTACAGAGGGAGTCCCAGCCTGTGGGGAAGGGGGCCCTGAAAGAAGTGCCAAGCTTAGGAGAGGCAGCCAGCCCAGGGCCAAGTACGCAGGGCTGCTGAAAGGAGGCAAAGAAGGAGAAGTTTTGGCTTTTGCCACTGACAGGAAAAATGAGGAGGTAGGAGGAGCCCTCCACTCCTCCTCAGCTCTCAGAGTAAAGGGGAACCTACCTGTGCCCCCTCCCTACTCAAAGGCAGTGGTGAGCCCTTTCTCCCCTCCAGAGTACTACCTTGGCTCTGCTTCCTTGCCAACTAGCAGACCCCCAAGCTAAGGGATCAGAGAGGTAGGGGGCAGCAAAGACCGGCAGAGTCTGTGGTCTTCCCAGGCACCCCACATTCAGTACACAGTGAACAAACATCTCCCAGGGAACTCAGGGCTTGTTTTTCCTCCAGAAGGAGGGGGACCCTGAGGCAATACACACAACATACCCCCACACCCAGGAAGTCACCCCTCCCATGGCAGCTGGAATGCCCTTACTCCCCTCCTCCACCCACCAAGGATGACCAAGAGCACCCAGGGAGGGGTGGAAGGGGAGGTCAGCCCAGGCTGGAGGTTGGACTCTGGAGGCCTGGCCCTGGCACCCAGCAGAGGAGATGCCAGGCTGCCTTCAGGGCTGCCCATCCAAGTGACATGCAGCAGCACAGAGCTCCAGGGATGCAGCCTTCTTCACCTAGTCCCTCAGCTCCTGGCCCTGGTCACCCCAGCCCTCCAGCCCCAGCTCTAGACAGGACTTGGGGAACTTAGCACTGCAGGGAAGAAATCTTCACCCCCACCAGGAGCCCCTACCTGGTCTTTCAGGCCAATCTGAGCCTTCTTCCCCAGATCTCTGGGAGCAAAGCCCTCCACCCCATGTGGCTATGGGTGGGCAGCTGTTGGGGCTGGGAGGCAGGGGCACAAATGCCAAACTAGAGCAGCCAGGTGCTCAACAGGTTGAGCCAGTCCCTGGAACAGCGGCCCCACCCCAGGGAAAGCAGACCTGGCAGAGGCTCCCTGCCCAAGGCACCCAACCTGTACCCACTTTGCTCCCACGGCTGCCCACTTTCCCACAGTGCCATGCCCCCTCTGTCTCCTCCCCCCAGGTCAACACCTGGGCAGTGCCCAGGGCTCTGTTACAAGGAAGCAAAGGATGCCATTTCCCTGTTACCCTTGGGTGCCCAGGCTCTTGAGGTACCTCACTATCTGCCACCAAAGGGCCCCAGGAAGAACAATGGTGACATCAGGGCAGCAGGAACTCCAAAGTGCTCCCACCTCCTTGCAGGCCTCTTTTGATCCTGGGAAAACTGGACACAGACACCCTGGCTCCCTTGAGCTTCCCTAAGGCTCTGGGACAGAACTTCAGCCTGCAGTGCTGGCGCCAGAGGCAGTATGGAGGCGCCCCCAGCTCCTCCTCTTAAGACTCCCTGGAGGAAAGGCTTCAGGTCTGGGTGACGGTTGTTTCCCTCCAGTCTTGCCAGAGCTGCTGCCACTCACAACTCTACTGCTTGCCTCTCACCAAGCTCCTGGACTCCCTGGAGCTCCACCCCAGCCATGGGTCCCCACATGGACAGGCAGCCTCCCTTTGCATGGCATCTCCTTTAATCTAAAGCAGGTGCCAGGCATTCCAGCCCTTGCTGAGTTGACACTGCCACCCGCTAGGCCTCTGCCCAGAGGACTACTACCCTGCCTGGTTAAAGAAGTTCAGGGCCGGGGATTTAGCTCAGTGGTTCAGGAACCTGCCTCGGAAGCGCAAGGTTCCGAGTTCGATCCCCGGTACCAAAAAAAACCAAGAAGTTCAGCCCCCAGCCTCTGCTCCTGCATAAGCCAGGAGTCTGAAGTGGAATCATAGGTCCCCAGTGCATTTTCAACAGGTAAGATCAATAGGTTCCAAATTACCAATGATGGGCCTATCCCAGATTTCTGTGGCCCGCCAATTGTTCTCTAGAACCCTAAAATAATCTGACCCTTCCCTGGACTCTCCACTCTAGTATAAACTCATTCTGAACCTCCCTGTGGGCCTCCAGAACCCATCTCTAGCCCAGAGATCCTGCTACCCCTGGGGTACAAGAGTCACTCTGGATGCAAGATTACATTCTACCCCTCATCCCTCCTAACATGAACTCCTACCTCACCTCAGTGAAGAGCAACACAATTGGCAGAGAAACCCCTAGAGGGAGATACACAGGACACTGGCCTTCCAGGCCTGGTCCTCTGAAGCCAAGGAGGCAGATCATGGGGGGGGGAGTGCCTTCCTTTCTGGTACCAGATCCTGGCCTCCCTCCCTGCCCCTCAGCTTCCATTCTCCCCTTGTCCTAAGGCTTCTGTCAGCAGGGCCCCATAGCTGACACCAGGAAGACAGAGCCTGAGCATGCTCATCCCCTGGGGCCATGAAATCATGGTCCTGACCCAGAGAAGGCAGCCAAGCCTGTGCTGGGAGCAATAGAAGAACCCCTGCCCTGAGGAAGTAGCTGCTCCCTGGAGAGGATGAGGAGAGGGGTTGAATGGAAGACCCCTCCAGAGGTCTCCTTCAGAAAAGCTGCTCAGAGGTACCTTGGGTATAGATAGTACAGGCAGCCTTCCCGGGTAAGGTAGTACCCGAAGCTGGGAGGAAGGAAAGGCGGGCAAAAGATCAAGGGACAGTGGAGCTCCTTTCCCAGGGCTCAGACAGGGGCCCAGCTCACCTCTCAGAACAACACTTTTCCTCCTGTAGCAGAGCCCCCCACCTCCAGGGGACAAAGACACACCCCCCAAGCAGCAGACAGACAGACAGACAGAAGGAGGAGGGAGGCAGGGGGTGTCAGAAAAACCCGGAAGGAAGGAAGCTGGACAGACAGACTGAAGCTGATCCCAACTTCACTGCTCAAGAAACAAACACCCTCCAGACTCCCAGGCTTTTAGGGACATTCTCCTTCTCAGGCCCAAAAGGAAGAAGGAGAGAACAGACTTCCATCTCTCCTGAAAACAAATTCCAGTAGCCTGGGGTAGCATATAGCCCGGGCAGACAAGAGGCCTCACTGCACTTCTCTGCCTCACATACTTCCCACAAGGGTTCCTTTGGACCAAGACAGGAGCCACCTCCCCTCTTGCAGGGACACCTCCAAGGAACTGTGTGGCTGACCCCCCTCCCAAGCCGGCCAAGCCCACAACACCAGAAGCCTTGGCAGGAGAGGCTCCTCCACTCACACTCCTACTGCTCAAAAGCAGTGCCTGCGGGCAGAGAGTGACCCCAGCTCTCCCCAGTCCCTATCCACCTCCTTCTGGAGGTCCCATCAGCCGAGGAAGAAGTGCTGGGGTACTGGCACCCACTGTTCGGGTGAGCCTGGGAAGGAGACTACAGCTCCCAGAAGCCCCCAGGGCAGGGTTCGCTGCTCCAGCTGGCCCAAGGCCGGCCTTGTTCTCTGCGCTAGGGTGGCAGGGTCCCCTGGCTGCCCCTAAGCCCTTCTGCCTGTGCTCTGGGGCTGCCAACCAGACTGGGGGCCTATATGTAGCCTCCACTGACCCTGCGGGCATCCCTCGCCCCCTAAACAGCCCGGGGGTTCGAGCCAGAGGGCAAGAGACAATCAGACTGTGTTTCCCCTCCCCAGTTCAAACTGGATCTCCCTTCTCGTGCTCCTGCTGGCCTGACATGACTTTCGCCCTCACCCCCAGCCCACCCCTCACCTCGCGCGGGTCGGGGGTCCTCACGCCAGGCCGGAGCTGGACGCCATGACCAGGTCAGGGTCGGCGGGTGGATTGAGGTCCTCCTGCTCGTCAGCTGGAGGTGCGGAGAGGGCGGGCAGGTGGTGATCTTTTGATCCTGGACGCCTTGATCTCAACACCAGCCCGGCCCGGGAGAGGGTATCCGGGGGTCGCTGGGCGCCTGGGTTCCTGCCTCCCCACTGTGGAGCATGGTCGTGGGCACCGGGCCGCGGCGGGAGAGCGCGCGCAACCCGGGGGCCGGGGCTCGGGGCTGGGGGTCTCGGCCCCGGACCGCACGGCTCCGGCTCCCGCTCCTCCTCCCTTCCTTCCTTCCTTCGCCTCCTCCTTTCACTTTCCCCGAAGCCCGCGGGGACGGCGGGCGCGGGGCGGGAGGGAGCTGTCGGGTGCTTATTGTCGCTCGGACGCCGAGGGTCCGGGTCGCAGCCCCCGCGCGGCGCAGCGCCGGGGGACCCAGGCGTGCGGGCGTCCGGCCGGCTGGCTCCGGGCGGCTGCGGTGGTGCAGCGGCCCCGAGTCTGGGGCATGTCCGGCCACTGGCTCCGCCGCGCGCCGCCGCCTCCCCGGGGTCCCCTGCGCTGCCGGAGCCTCGCGCGCCCCTCCACTCGGCTCCTCTCCCCAGCCTGAATAAGCATCGGGGCTCTCTGGCTGCCTCCTTCTGCCTTCATACCAGAGCCCGGAGAGGCCCCTGTCAAAATAAGAGCTCCCCCATCTCGCTCGACTCCTAGCCCAACCCGGCTCCCCCAGCCTCCCAGTGGTCTGACTCGGTAAGGCGCCGGCCGGCTGGTGGGAGGCAGGTTGGCCCGGGGGCGGGGAGGGGAGCTTCTATCCTGCTCTTTTCCCCATTCCTGAGGACTGGGGAGGAGACGTGCCAGCCGCATCACAGGCTAGAGAAGTCTGACAAACCTACCCTCCAATCTGCAGGAATTGGAAGGAGTGGGAGTTACACACACACACACACACACACACACACACACACACACACACACACAGCACTGGGACCCCTCTTCATTGTAACCACCCGCATCCATTATGCACTTATGCCCTGAGCATCTCTTTATTCATCTTTCTCTCCTCTTAGACCATGAGGTCCTTCAGGACACAGACAGAATTTTTTCATCTCAATCCTGAGCAGCTCCAGCAGATGCTTAGAAAATATTTCTGGAAGTGAAACCTTTTCTTCTCAAAAGAACCCTCTCTTAACCTCAAAAAAGTTACACACACACACACACACACACACACACACACACACACGCTCCCCACCTCTTTGGGCAGTAGTAGGTGCACGGAAAAAGAAATTGTAAAAAAGAATTATAATTTTAAAAAAGCATCTCGTGTGTTATTTCAGTATTTCCCACAAATCTGCAAGAAAGCTATTATGGTCCCATTACACAGGTGAGGAAACTGAGGCTTGCATTACCTAAGCCATACTCAGGTTACCTGGCTAAAGTGCTAAGCCCAGGATACAATTTGGTCTCCCATGCCAGGGCACAGTCCTTCTATGTCGCTGCTCCAACAAGTGACAAGCATTGACTACTTCGGAAAGGAGGACTCCTTTCTGTTTCCTGTACCCCCATCTCACTGGTAGAACTGCAGACACTTCCCACCCTAGTGACCTCCCTCTTCCAACCATTTATCACTTCTGTACCAACCACCTCCGCACTTGCTTACACATTTTATCTTGTTTCTCCTGTGTGTGCACCTAATGGACCCCAAAAGTTTCCTGAGGGCCCAGACCGTGCTTCTGTCCTCTGGGTTCCCCACAAGATTGATTCAACAGCTGGTTGCATTCATAGAAGGACTTCAGTCAGTGCTGGCTTGATGGGCCGATGGTGCCAGAGACTGGGCACTGGGTAAGGTCTGGTGAGGCCCAAGTGGGGGGAGGGACAACATAAAGGTAACATCACAGAAAGAAAACACTGTAACCTTTGTGTGGGCCTGACACACCAGGTTTACAAAGCACTTCATGTACAGTGTCTCTTGAGCATGCTTTAATCCAATCAACAAACTTCCCCAAGTACAGTACCTGCTAAGTGCTGGGCCAAGGCCTCTGTGAGGTTAGGGGGTTGAATCATCAGTTCCTTGAAACAGGTCTTATCTTCAGTTAAAGGGAAGGAACTGAAGCCCAGAGGCTGAACTCGTGTTGTGAAATGCTAGTGCTAGGACCCAGGAAAACAGCGTTTGACTTCTCTCTCCCGAGTCCAAGGTATCGAACAGGCCCCTAGGCAGAAGGCTAGCTCTCAAAGAGGGTGTTTGTTAGAAGGGTCCACTCCATCTGTGCGGCTCGGACACGTAGATATCAAGCCGCACGATCCCTTTGGAACAAGCCCCATTCATAGTAGGTCCAGGAAGCAACGTTTGTAAGGGCGAGTGGTGGCTGGGTGGCAAGGGATCGCAAATGTGTTCCACAGGGAAGTTTAGGAGTGTTCGGTGTGTCCTGTTGAGCGCTCCCCTGGGCGGGGCTGTGACTCACTCCCCTAGCGTAGGTTCCAGGTCGGGACGACGAGCTGGAGCTCTGGGCAGCCACGAGTTCTGGGTGGGACCCTGGAGCGAGAGCGGAGGAAAGGAGAAAGGCGAGCGGCCCTTTGCGGGAATGGAGCGGCTCCCTCTACTGGCAAACTCGGAGAAGCTCCGTGTGTTTCCGGGTATCTGTGTGTCACTGTGTCACAGGGTTGTCACAGGTGTGTCAGCGGGCTCAGGGTCGGCGTTTGTCGGTGGAAGTGCCGGCGTGGGTATGGGTGTGTGAAGACGGCTGTTTGTGTCTCACAGTGGGTGTGCCAGAGCCACGCGGGGCTTTTTCTGAAAACACAGTAGGTGCACACAACCGCATCTTGTCTTGAGATTTACCTCGGGGCTGGGGGGTGCGGGCGGCCCTAGGGCTGCTTATTACCCGAGACTTCAGCATCCTCCTGTTTATGGGGTGACTAGAACAGATCTTCTGGCTGGTGCTCTTCACCAGCTCGCGCCCTAGCCAGAGAAGTTCTGAGCGGTTCTGGCCCTGAGTCCCTTCTATCCCGTAAGGCAGCTGGGACCTAGGAACGGGTTAACCTGGAGCCCCACAGTGACTTCAATCATTGGTTCAGGGAATTGTCAGTCAGCGTTCTGGGGGCGGGGCTTGCCAGGCCCCAGTCGGTTGCCCAGCGCCCCTCACTTGCCCCTCGACCCCCCACATCATTTCACTGCTGCGCCCACACCCCCATCCTGGTGGAGACTCCTGCCCGGGCCCTGGAGGAGGAGCGGATCTGGGCATCTAGGCTTCCCCTCTCACTCCAGCTGTCTGGCTTCCTGATAGATGGTGATTATTATATAATAGACTTGCTGGACAGAACCGTGCCAACCCTGGGAACAGTTTGCCCCCTCCTCGAAGCCTGCCCTAGGGCCTGGCACCTGCCGCACAGAGCCTGCTGCCGGCTCTGCTGGCGCCCCCACCACCTCCTCTGGGAAGAGAACCCAGAGCCACCTTCCCTGGGGGCCCGAGGCAGCGTCCAGGGACTGGGCGGGCGCCGGGCCGGGAGTCGCGCTGGCGCCCCGCAGGTCTCCGGGTCGGCCTGCGGTGTGTGGCTCTACCAGTGCTGGTCTAAGATTGTGGGATGGTCCTGGCCCCCCTCCAACCTGAACTTGGAACCCTGGAGCCAACAGAGGTGGGGCTAGGGGGTGCAGAGGCCAGGGTCGGAAAGGGAAAGGAGTTTGGAAAAGGTGCAGGGGCTGGAAACCAGAGGCTGGGAGAGGGGGCCGACCGGGGCAGGGGGGAGGGACTCTTATCCTGACAGGGCTCCCGCCTTCCCCGACTAGAGGGTTTGGAAAAACTGAGCAGGCAGCCAAGGCTTGGCTGGAAATCCTGCAGCCCACCCTCCTGGGGACACAAAGCTGGAGGGCGGGGGCAAGGCGGAGGAAGAGAGCACGACCCCCGGGAGGGCAGGGCCTCTTTTGGGGCTGGGGGCCCAGGGGCCAGGTCCCTGGGGAGGAGGTTCCTGGCGCTGTCTCCCTGCAGTCTGCTTCCCCCTTCGCCGCCCGCTCCCCAGCGTCTCCCCTCCTCCTCTCGCCCGGCTCCGGTCTTGCAGATTGCGGGCAGACTTAACTCCTTCCGTGCCAGCCCGGTGGACTCCGAGGTGGTGACGCCTCGAGGAGAGGAGGGAGGGAAGGAGGGACTTCAGACCCCACTCACACCCACAGTTTAACACCTTGAGGCCCGGAACGCAGTCCCGGAACTTTGACTGGTCAGAGCCCTGAAAGGCTGCGGGGCCCTGCGGGAGCGACCCACAAAGCCCGCACCTGGCAGCGGCGGAATCCAGTCTGCTCTCCTGCCCAAGGTCACTGTCCTCCTCCCCGCTCCCACACTCTGTGCCTCTCCTGCACTCTGCTACCCTCCCACCACCTTCTAGACTGGGCGGAGGCCCTGACGGATGCGGGAAGCCAGGAGGCTGGGCTCTCCCTGAGCGCCTCCTCAGCGTGCAGCCTCTGAGGCCCCAGCGCAGGTGACCGCAGCCTTTGCCTTTCTTGCATCCAGAGGGGCTGCCACCCAATCTCAGAGAAATGCTATCCAGATCCCGCTAGGACCAGGACCTGAGTCCCTGGAAACCCCGACTTAACCTCTACCCTAGCCCCTCCGGTGGGAGACACCCCCGCCCCTGGCAGATTTGCCCCTCAGTTCCGCTGTGAATGACTGCCCAGGAAGGCACTTTAGACTCGCCAGGAAGGGGTTAACAGAGCCACGGGCTCTAGGTGGGAGTCAGGTGAGGCACCGCCCATCTTGGCCTCAGGTGCGAGTGGGTGGGGAAGGAGGGACACTGACCTTAAGGGCTGCTTTTTTTTTTTGCCCCCTGGTGGTCAGATATGGCTTAGCAACTGCAGGCTGTATGCTCACATAGAGGTTCGCGGAAGAAGGACGTTGGAGACCGCAGAGTGCTCCTCCCGGGGAACAACACCTTCCGAGGGGGAGAATTCCTCTAGAGGCAAAGTGGGAGCCCCACGATCCCTGCCACGTCATCCCCACTCAGCAGGGTGCCTCAGCCGTTTCCAGATCCTCTGCTTATGGGTCTTAAGTGCCCAGGCACCTGGAGGAGTCTGGAAAAAAGCAGAAGATTCAGGGCCTGTCCTCCCCGGGTCTCCACCTAACAGAAAGGGTCCATAGGGGTAGCTGGATCTCCCCCTGCCCTTTGTGCTCCAGGCCTTCTCAGGCTCCCATTCCAGCTGGACCCGCAGCAAATACATTCTTCTAATG